GGCTTTTTGTGACGACGTGTGACGGAGGGGAGGGGGAGGTAAAAATCGTCAAAAAAAACTTGACGTCATTTATGGATGACCCCCCCCCCCCCCACCCCCCCCCCCCCCCCCCCCTCCCTCCCGTGCTGGAATTTTGGGTTATGTTCCTAATATATCGCCTACGTGCAGAAACGTTGCAGATTTTTAGTATCACAAAAGTGCGTAGATGTGCAGTTAGTATTTTAATGTGGAGTTAGTGCTCAAAAGTAGAGTCAGTGTTTAAATGTGAAGTCAAGTGTTAAATATTCAGTGTTTAAATGTGGAGTCAGGGTTTAATGTGGAGTCAGGGTTTAAATGTTGTTAGTATTATTTTGATTCATGACCTCTAAATTACATGAAAGATTAGTACCACATTCATCAAAGGGTACCTCTGATATGTACCTAACTCACGTTAGGGAGAGTAAAGGCGGCTGGGCATATTGCTTACCACACTATCCCTTCATATGCCGAGGTCACATAAAGTGAACTTTTACTTTTACCATCAAAGGGAAGCAACCGAATAAAAACATATGATCCAATAACAGTTTGCCGGTTAAGGTTCTTTAATTTTTTATTCCTCATGTGAATCTTAAACAAAAATGTGGTTTAGAGTAGAATTCGCATAGTATTTTACAGAAAGTTCACTATTTTGTGTTTTAAAATTCAAATTCTGTTTTTGATAAATAAATTAGATCATTATCTATACTTTAATCAACCCTATCAACTTTAATCAACCCTATCAACTTTAATCAACCCTATCAACTTTAATCAACCCTATCAACTTATAATCAACCCTATCAACTTTTAATCAACCCTATCAACTTTTAATCAACCCTATCAACTTTTGATCAACCCTATCAACTTTTAATCAACCTTATCAACTTTAAGCAACCCTATCAACTTTTAATCAACCCTATCAACTTTTAATCAACCCTATCAACTTTAATCAACCCTATCAACTTTTAATCAACCCTATCAACTTTTAATCAACCCTATCAACTTTTAATCAACCCTATCAACTTTTAATCTTTTAATCAACCCTATCAACTTTAAGCAACCCTATCAACTTTTAATCAACCCTATCAACTTTTAATGAACCCTATCAACTTTTAATCTTTTAATCAACCCTATCAACTTTTAATCAACCCTATCAACTTTAAGCAACCCTATCAACTTTTAATCAACCCTATCAACTTTTAATGAACCCTATCAACTTTTAATCTTTTAATCAACCCTATCAACTTTTAATCAACCCTATCATTAGCTTCAAGGGAGACGGTGGGATGGGGCGGGAGACCGTGGGATTCACTAACTCTTACGTCCCGAGTGTCGGGAGCAGGGCAGTTGAGGCTCATTAGCTGGGGACAGCAACTTTTTTAGGGAAAGAAAACTAGTTTGTTCTTGTGTTGACAAATCTAAAATGAGAATTAGGCTGAACTCGAACTCATCTGGTTAGACTAGTTTTTACTGCCCCCCCCCCCCCCCCGGAACGAAATGCAATTTATATATAAAATATATACTTTTATTAGTGTCCGTCCACCCTCCCTAAGAAACTTTATTGCCCCCCCCCCCCCCCCCCCCCGAGAGTCACAAAGAAGAAAGTCTGGAAGATACACTGCGTATACGTTGACGAGTGTTACTAACTATATTCGTTACCAGTGTTTCTTCCAGACTTTTTTCTCCGTGGAGAGGGGGGGGGGGGGGGCATTTAAAATTTCCGGAGTAGAGTAAACATGCAACTAATTATGAATATACACACAATGAAATGCACTTTATTTTGGTAAATATGTAATATATTCTAGTTGGTTCCCACAAATATAAGCATATTTTAACACGCTTAATCAGCCTTTTGTTTTGATAATTTATTCATACGTTTTTCTTGCTCTTTAGTACATGAAAACTTGTTTTTAAGTCGTTTTTATGAAGTTTTTAGGGTCAGGTTTTCATGACTGATTTACTGAACGCTTTATTGATTAAAAAAACTCTTATATGTAGTCAGATAAGTTGAATATAATATATTTTACGTCATATTAACAAAGTTATATAGTATTTCTACTATGCATTACAAGTTATATGATATTAAATATTCTTCGAGAATCAATCTAGAGGTTTTTAATAAACATATGCTTTTTCTGGTTTACGGAAAAATTTCTTTTACTTTTATAGACTTTTCTCCAATCATTTATATTATAGCCATGGCGAAAAGGAAATGTTAAAAAAAAATTACGTATCCTCGTTTACAAAATATTTTAAGACAAATTCGAGAGCTTTACATCGTGCTACGCTAAAAATAAAGCGGGAGTGATCTTCCCTAAACTTTCTCCAATATACTTATGTAACACTACGGGGGACGGCAATCGGCATATATATGTATAATTTGAATCAATTTTAAATCACTTTTTTTCTCCTTTTATCCGCATGTTGTTATTGTGTTTATAATTTTTTTGTGAATTAAAAAAAAAATTGGGGAAATTATATGTTCAAATTCTAGACGCAGTCATATCCCCTTTACTATCACACCTACTTGTAAACAGTTTAGTATAGGTCTAAATTGTAAAGGATTTTTCTTCAATCCAAATGTTTTCTCCGTTTAATCGTGCGTGTAGTAAAAAAACAGTGAAAATTAAAATTTCAATTTCCTTTCGTGGAATCTTGAAGATATCATTTGATAATAATTAAAACTTACTTGGTCTCTTTTGTTTAGGATAGATATCTTAGTTCCTAGCAATTTATTTACAGAAAAAGTCGATACCATTAGCTTTTAAGTGTCTGAATAGTTCAGCTCTAATGCTTTTATTATCAAATTCCTCATTGATTTTTTGTGTGCTTCATATTGTACTTGCTCTTTTCTTCCAGCTTTTTCATACTTTTGTTTTAAGTCTCAGCAAAGTTTTGGGCTTAATTTTTTATATTCTCATGTGTAAGGTTTAATAAATCCATTTTTAAATCCATCATAGTTTTATATAAACACTGGGTATCCAGCGTTACATTTTCTACTCGAGCGCTCAACTTCTAGAACAGGTAAACTCGAAAGATCTAGACCAGGAAACTATCGCCTTGAGTGGTTTACATTTAGGCTGTGCCACAAATATTTCTCCAGTAGCCTCCCTTTGTCTGTACTTTTGACGCCGTATAGAACCTTCGTATCCCATTTTACCCAGTCACGCTCCCCCTACCGTGACAGCCTACAAATGTCTTTGATGGCAACAATACTCTGGGAACACACACATACACACGCCTACTGAATGCAAGCCAATCTCTCATTTCTAACACACTAGCATTACCGTTTTAAGCTCATTATACACTATCTAACTTGTAAAGGGAATTCTAAAAAGTACTAAAGCACGATGCTAAAACAACTTTTAGCTAGGACCAGAGATAAAAAAAAATAAAGCTAATACTCGAGCTAATACCAAAAATAACATTAAGGTAAAATCTTGTCAGCAGTGGTCTGGTGTCGGAAGGTCTGACCTGTATTGAAAACATTCACGTTAGAGGAACTGACAAGCTTACAGGATTTACAGACCACATCAACAGTTGTATCTTGCATGACAAAATGCTGATAGAAATGGTAACATTAAGTTACTAAAGTTATTGATTTATCCTAGGATCACAAATTAATATCAGTACAATTATATAGAGTTCACATGTTTCTGTAATCTCGACATGAGTAAGAAAAACGTGGTCAATGTGTACGTTCCATAACGTGCGTTAAGTATCATCGTAGCTGTGTGGACTCATTTACGCACTACAATTAGCCTTGGTCCGTATTGCCTTTATCACATTAAAAAAACGAAAGTTATTATGTGTTTGATAATTTCGAAGATTTTTTTATGTGTTTGAAAAAATAAACGAAAAAAACAAACAAATGAAATAACACATTAACCATAAGTTGTATAAACGCATGTATTTGTAAATATATAAACCAAACAATTCCTTAAACTACACAAAGGGAGGCTTGATATAAAAATTAAGTGGACGTTAAAATAAAGATGTATATAATTGCATATAATTGCTTTCCATTAATTGTGTCCATGTAACACATATTAAACAAATACAATTATAAAATTAGGTAATTGGAAATTTCTCTAGCCTATGGTATGGAACACAAACACAATTGTTAACGGGAGATAACAATTAAAATTACTCACTTAATTTGTGAGAACATGGTTATATACATTGAAAACGATAATAAAAGAATATTCCAATCTCAGTAATAAAAACATATTCAGAATTAAACTTTTATTTTATACTAATATGTACTTGATAGTAGAGATTTCTTAATAAACAAACATGCTCGATATGAAATACATTAATAAAACATTAACTACTGAAACAAAGGATTTTCTTAAATAATCTATTTTTATTCTACTGTGTGATCGCATAATGTACACATTTATAATACAAAGCTTTACAGATCCCAAATTAACAGTTACAATCTACTTTATATGATTTTGGATGGCATATATATCTTTCGAAAAACTATGCGAAAAAATGTTATTGAAAAAAGTGCATAAACATTACACACGTTATTAGAGTTGAACTTGACTCGATCCGACTGTATGGCTAATTAAAGATATAGTGGTAGATGACAACTACACTACTAGTCTATGAATATGCAAGAAATAAATGACACCATCATAGTCGGTTTTTTTTCTGTTTTAATGGCTAACACACACACAGTCAATGTGTGAGGAATTTCAATTCCAGATGAGTGTATACGTGGCTTTATTTTACATAATAACAGCAAAACAAACTCTGTTGTAGTTTTTAAAATCAATTTTTTAAATAAAATATTTGGTTTAATGTTCGTTAATTTTAAACTCCTTATGTATACTCATCATCAAGAAAATATTGTCTTAGTTAAATGTTTACATCTATGTATTTTAATATATAAAATGTTGCTTATGTTTCTGAAGATTATATAAATAATTTGATTACTGTATATCCATTATTTTACCATAGCATTGTTTTTTGGTTGTTTACATTTGACGAAGTTTCATCTCAACAAAGTCTAGAGAGTCAAAATAGCTTGTAATGCTATACCAATGAATTCCTTTAAGACTAACACGACTCGCCCATTCACCGTTGACGTTAACAGCGTGACAATCATCATACCACCAACCACCGCTACCGTAGTCTACAGCACAGTTTCTACCTGACCACACATCGTTATCAGAGTCAATGGTTGTAAACTTTCTTCCGTTGTGATAACTAAACTGGTCTTCAACATTCCCACCACTGAATGACGTGTAGCTCATCTTATACTTTGCTGCTTCATTTTCTACCTTAAAACCTCTGTACACAGCGTAGTAGTCTTTACCTTTATACTTCATGTCAAATCTGAGTTCGTTAAAACCCTGCGTTAGACAAAAAATTAGATATATTTAAATATTGCATTGTGTTTGAAACATTGTAAGTATTGATCCCTATATACTATATGATAATTATACATATTGATTAAAAAACGTAACGAAAATCTATAAACAATATACACAATTTTCCAAACCACATCATTACAATAATACATACATTGCTTGAAAACTTTCTTTGTAAAAAGAAAATATTGAGTAAACTTATTTTGATAGTTCCTGTATCTACCCCATCATTAAACCAAAAGACGTCTGTTGGGAAAGGAAATATTACATTATCTATTGCCTGATTACATTGCAACTTAAAAATATATTCCCTTACAAGAAATACTATTTATATTCAATTTACGTATGGCTTTTCTAGAACTCCCTTCTTTTTATTATTCACCTTATATTGCCTGCCGTTGTAACACGCACGCAAGTAATAAACCCATCTCCTTCTTTTGATAAGCTCTATAGCCCTAATTCTAAATCTTACAACGTATCATCTTTGTATCTCTATATGTATGTCGTGTAATGGGGTTAATATAATAAAGGTGAGGGCAGGCGGGAGGGTGTGGAATAGAACTGTTGATAAAACCGGTAGAGGAAGAAATGACCGGCGGAAAATATCCTGCTGACTGCATTACACTATTCTTTAAGGTTCGTTACATAACCACGATCTTTATTGTATAAGCTGTGTTACCCTTCCTAAAATATCTAACTAATCTGTAAATCGGTTATCTAATAAACACTTCTGAAATCAACGGATCAAGACACTTAGCTTTTTTCCCTATAAAAATAAAAACACGCTTTGTTAATTTATTCATCTATTAACATACTGCATGTGCAGTAAATGCACCTTCGTCATATTAATTGAAGATGTATAGTATTTGTTTCGTTAGTTAGCTATTGTTTTCTAAAATTTAAAAAACTCAACGAAATACATTACTATGCATTCGCCATTAAAATAGCATGTTACTTAATCTAGGTCCATTTAAATGTATTTTAAATAGTCAATGCCATGACTGATGATTAAAATGTGCATTTCAGTGACATGTGTACACCAGACGCACAGTCCAATCGATATGAAGATTAAATAAAATTATCAAACTGAATGTATTAGTAACTGTAAACAATTGTATGCTATATTAATAGCAGAAATTTCAAGACTTTGCATTCACTACGTATCTCCACATTTGCAGCTTATATTATCCATCCATCTATTTATCCCCTTTTTCAACAGCCCATTAACAGTTTTAGCCAGATTCAATACATTCTTCCGCTCACATGTGTCATATATCTTCATCGTCCAATTCTTGAATTTTATTTATTTATTTTATCTCCACCTCAGCAATGCTTCTAAATCAAGTTGTAGCCTACATTATGGTAGCAATGCAGAGCGTGTCTAAAAGAGCATCGTATTTTTTTTCTCGATCAGTATACAACTTCTACGGCGGCTTAATACTAAACTCGTTTACAACATCGAATGTATAAGGTTTAAGGTTGGGTAATTTATATTTAACTCTCAGCTTCCGAGTTTCTTGATCACAACACCTTAGTACTAATTTTAAAGTAAATACTTCGTTAATTTAAAAAATCAAGTTGAAACAGCTATGATCAAATTGAAATTTTAATGATGAAAAGACCCCATGTTTTTGTGAAAGTAAAAGTAAAGTTTCCCTTTCAAATCTGACGATATTATTTCTGTGACCTCGGCATTTGAAGAGATAGTGTGGTCAGCACTATGCCCAGCCGCCTATACTTTCCCTATCATTAGGTACCCATCAGAGTTGTTCGGACTCAGGGACGGTCTACTAACTTTAACCCGGATTCGAACTCGAGACTTTCGGGTTAGCAGTCCAGCTCTCTACCGCTAGAACACTCCGTCCCCATGTTGTTGTGAAACCGTTATATTATAAGTAAACTAACAAGCTAGTGTATACAAGTATCGAATAAAGTGACTATTTAACAATTAGAATTAAAGTGAAAACATCTACATAGTGCAGTGCGTGTATGGTACAATCACTTTAACACAGTCCCCTTAAACACATTAATAAGTATTACTTCGTTATTTTTTTTTGTTACACAATTCAGTTTTTAAGCAGACATTATTTCCTTACCAAATCTGTCAATTTTGAAATTACACTATTTCCGATCCAAAAGTCTCCAGATGTTGAACCAAATCCGTTTTTATAATCGTTCCAAGTTCTTGTAAAGTTCACATCACCTTTGATACGTCTCTGTAAGAAGTATTGACAATGCTAAAATAAAGTTTTAAGCAATTTCATTTAATTGATTCTAAAGAATATTTATGTTAATATAAATAAAATATTTAAGAAATAAAAAAAGTTTATGTATAAAATAACGGCAGTGGTAAACATACGTAAGTTGATTTGATTTATAAGTAAATCCCAAATTGTATACATACATCACAAACATATTTTTATCCGAGAACAATCTTCAAAATAAATTCACTCTCAACATTAACGTTGTCTATCATTTTATATTATACAGGTGTTTTCAATGGTATAAATACAACAAAACTGTTAGAAAAAAAATGTAGGAAAAAAGCTATATTGGTAAATGTCTAAGAATGTTTTAAATGACAAAAAAAAAACAACCTGTATAATAATCCATCCTCCACCGTCAGTCTTGTTATCACACAATGTTCTGTTAACATCTACTCCAGTAAACGTCATGTCCACTAAAATACGATCGTTCATTTTGGTACATTTTAACTGGAGAAAAAAGTAGCATATTTGTATTTATTATTAGTTCAAACGAAATTAATTGAAAACAAATATGTTTATTCAAAGCACTAGATACCGACACAACCACGAAGAATATATACATACACATGCATATGTGTATACATACATACATATAGATATGTTTGTGCGTGTTTATGTATGATTAAGTATAAATATATTCACAGAAATATATGTAAGTATGTAAGTATGTGTTAAAAATGTTTGCCAAAGATAGTCAATTTAATATCTCGTTTATTTTACTAAACATTGTCGAGACAAGGAACTACTTTATGAACATGTGCGCTCCTGGCACAGCTTCAGCTTTCGAGAAAAGTGGTGATGTTACGTATTTTAAAGACATTCTACTAAATCCAACTTTTATAAACAGTTATTGATTTTGCAATCTTTTTTTTTTAAAAATCACCAGCTAACATTTGTCAGAATATTATCTGAATACATAAAAAAATATAAAAATTTAATAACAAACATTTTAGTTTTTCTACATTTGACGCATTGTATTGTTGTAAGTCTAATGCGAAAACATGCCATGCCTGCGTAAAATACTTTAAATTTAAACTTCTTGGGAGCATTGTCATATGTAATGGCTGAACTGGAAAAAACCAAATTGGGAGTAAGCGGAGTAAGATGATAAACACATTCTATTAAACTTACGTGTTCACTTCCGTTGAGAACAGGGTCACCATGTAACCTACTGACTAGGACACTAATTAGATCTGATTTAGTAATCAGGTTTTGAATAGTGCTGTTCATCTCTTCCATACTGGCGTGTATATCGATGTCAGTATTGTTTAGTAGTGATACAGCTGTTTTTAAATCACTCAGTGTCTCTGACTGTGTCTCTGACAGAAATTTGTTTGTTTCACCCAGTTGTTGAATGCTTATATTTTGACGTTGTTCCAATATCGCTGTGCTATTTTGAATCATTTCTTTAGTCAAAGTTAGTAAAACGTTTTTGTAATCTTGCAAGATTTTTGTTAGAGTTTCACTTTCATTTGATTTTTGAGACAACCTCTGAACATCGAAAGACACATTAACCACACTGTAGTTCAGTTTCTCCAGTTGCTTTTGTAAAACACTGTATAGACTTGTTACATTTTGTACCGAACTAATTTGCATTTGAAGTTTTGTATTATTTGCTTCTATCTGTTGATTTGATTTTAGTAAGTTTTCAGTTAAGTTGTATTTCAAATGCGTGAGCTCTTGATTTGTGTTATTTAAGGTGTTCAATCTGTTAACAACGTTGTTCATTTGATTTTCAAGTCTCTGAATTGTAGATCCTTGGGCAGATAACAAGCTATTTAATCTACTTTCCATCGCATTGGTAAGGTTAACTAAGGTTTCATCATTCTTCTCCTTAGTTAATTCTGTTTTATGATAACTAAGGTTAGAATTTTTGTCATCTGTTAAAAACTGTAAATTCATCTTCAAGTCAGCACTGTTTAACGGATCAGAATATTTAAATGTTTTTAGAAACTCAGACATTCTATCCATTGTTTTATCAAACTCTGGAGTTTTAGCCTCTAAGGACATCAACATCAGCGGCTTACGATTTTCTTGGACAACAGGTTTGGTTTTATTTTCTTTCTTCTCAATGAGACCCCTTCTGTTTGTGTAATACACATCACATCCAAACACTGTACTAAAACAATCAGAAGGTTTTGTAAACGACACAGTCAACTCTCCAAACAACTTTGAAAACTTTCCATCAACTTTTGATCCAGCTACTTTATAATCTCGAACTCTTGAATCTGATTCTGATACAGACGCCAACATAATCTTTTCCTCTAATTCACTGATCCTATAGACTGACATGTTGACAAGAGCTGAGATTTCATTATCTTCTCTTGTGCTCTCCACACACTGTAAGTTGGGACAGAATAAATCTCTACCCTCCATATAGTATTCTCTTTTCAATGAAATGTCAAGTCCTGAAAATATATAAGTATTTTATAAAAACTTGTAAGCATAAAATATGGTTAAGTTGGCTTTAAATTGAGAAACAATAAGCAGTAAATTCCATCCCATTATTATCATGTTTACGTGTTTGTTTGAAAAGTGTTTTTTTTCACCGTTAAGTTATTTTTACTTTCTCGTATATACGAAGTATAGAGAAAGTCTTGTAATCGTGCAAAAAAAAATCGAGATTTTTACAAATCTCGGCGTTTTACACCTCACTGATACGGAAAAATATAATTTTGCAATCTTGTCCGTATGTCTGTGTGTCTGTCTGTCTGTGTGTGTGTGTGTGTCCGTGTGTAAACACGATAACTTAAGTACCGTTAAAGCTAGGTTGATTAAATTTCATATATAAGTAATCGTAGATCCGTATCAACTTTTGAGCGATTTCCTATAACTGGAAGTGGTACTTTTCCTAGTTTGAATTTTCAAAAGCCTATAACTTGAGTACTATTTCAGATAGATAAATGAATTTTCACATGTAAGTAAAAGATCTAATTCTCTACCTTCTTTTAAATTTTGAGTACTTTCCGTTGACCGGAAGTAGTAATTTACGCTACTTCCGATTTCTCAAAAAACAAATGTAAATAATTTTTAGAGTACTAATAATATTGCGCAGTATTATGCACTTTTTTATTTGGCGTTCACTTGGTGTGCAATTAATTTGTCTACGAGATTTTATTCTATTTTTAAAACTTTAAGTATTTAAAATGGATTAAAAATCATGTCTATAGCTCGAGTTCCCATCCCCTGTTATTTGATATAAGAATATTCGAGAAAGTTTAGGGGAGATCACTCCTGGTTTATTTTATATAAGTATAAGTTTTAAAAAAAACATGTATCCCATTGTAAAGGCATGTATCTTGTTTTAATTCCAATAGACAAAAGATCGATGACACATATATGTTCTACACTGCTTCTCAGCACTGTGAGACAGCTCAACATTTCTGTCAGCTTGAGACAAAAAATATTTCTGGCAACATAAAACGAGTCTGCCTATATTGTAACGTTTAAACGGTCACATCACGTACTTCATCTTTACATCTCTGGAGCATCTTATAAATTATTACAACTTCAATATATACACACATTATACGTGTAATCTATCTATATATCTATATATATAATTCTCTTCTGGGAGCCGTTAGAAAACAAGCTGCAAGCGCGCCTTACAGACCCCTCTCTTCCTCTCTACCGCTACCACCCCCACCCTCTCACATGGTCTGGTGAGCTGTGGTTCACGCTGTTTACATTTTACAATCATAGAGACGGGTTTGGTGACGCCTATTAGAGGCAGATAATTTAGTTTGAAACGATTTTAAACTTAGAGGAGGTAACTAAAAGGAGGCTGCTTTCACGTGGGGGGGGGGGAAGAAGGGGGGTTTAGTGTTTTTAAGCAAATATTTTCAGTGGCAGCATTGGTACTGTCGAATTCACAAATTATAAATTACTGAAAAGTAGAAAAAAACAACTAAATAGCGGCGTATGATACGCAGCGGGTCGGCTCGTATATATAATTCTCTTCTGCGAGCCGTTAGAAAACAAGCTGCAAGCGCGCTCCATACCATCCCCACCCCTACATGATCTTAGTGAGCTGTGGTTCACGCTATGTTTACCTTCGTGGAGTTGGGTTTCGTGACGGTTATTAGGGGAAGATAATTTAGTTTGAAATGATTTTTAAACGTGGGGGGGGGGGGGAGGACGGAAGGAAGGAAGGAAGGAAGGAAGGGGAAGGAAGGGGGGGGGGGGTTATGGTCCTTAACGAGCTACTTATAGTGTTTTAAATAAATATTTTCAGTGTCAGCGTTGGTACTGTCGAATTCACAAATTATGAATTACTGAAAAGTAGAAAAAACAACAACTAAATAGTGGCGTATGTTATGCCGCGGGCCGGCTCGTATATATATAATTCTCTTCTGGGAGACGCTAGAAAACAAGCTGTAAATGCGCTCCCTACCATCCCCACCCCTACATGGTCTTAGTGAGCTGTGGTTCACGTTATGTTTACCTTCGTGGAGTTTGGTTTAGTGACGGCTATTAGGGGCAGATAAATTAGTTTAAGACGATTTTAAACGTTGGGGGAGGGGGGAGAAAGGGGGGGGGGTATGGTCCTTAACGAGCTACTTATAGTGTTTTAAAGAAATATTTTCAGTGTCAGCGTATGTTATGCCGCGGGCCGGCTCGTACTTTATAATACTGACATGTTAACAATATACTAAGGATGTTCCGTTATCAAACGCAGTTTATGCTATTACGTTGCAGGTATTATAATATGCTGATCGATTGTAAAAGGTCCATTAATTATATAATATATTTGATCAATCGTGTACTTATAGCTCTTCGATGCAGTAATTTTAAGGGAATTCTTTTTTTTTTCGTTAGTTTTACTGTAAAAGCACAACCATTAACCGTTTTTCGATCCTAACGGTCAATAGTGCAGTAGAGTTAACCTATTTCAATGACATCAGTCAATGAAGTGAGAGCGTTTTCAGCAATATGCTCTTCCTCGCTTTATGAATGTAAGTAAACCGTGTGTAAAATTTCCAAAATAAAGTTTAAACGCTGCATTTAATAACATCTTAGATAGTCTTATAATATTGTGAGGCTGGTCATCTGCAACATGGTATGTTGATAAAATATGATATGTTGATAAAATATGGTATGTTGATAAAATATGGTATGTTGGTAAAATATGATATGTTGATAAAATATGGTATGTTGATAAAATATGGTATGTTGATAAAATATGGTATGTTGATGAAATATGGTATGTTGACAAAATATGGTATGTTGATAAATATGATATGTTGATAAAATATGGTATGTTGATAAAATATGGTATGTTGATAAAATATGGTATGTTGATGAAATATGGTATGTTGATAAAATATGGTATGTTGATAAAATATGGTATGTTGATAAAATATGGTATGTTGATAAAATATGGTATGTTGATAAAATATGATATGTTGATAAAATATGGTATGTTGATAAAATATGGTATGTTGATAAAATATGGTATGTTGATGAAATATGGTATGTTGATAAAATATGGTATGTTGATAAAATATGATATGTTGATAAAATATGGTATGTTGATAAAATATGGTATGTTGATAAAATATGGTATGTTGATAAAATATGGTATGTTGATAAAAACCGCTCAACGGAGTAGAGCTCTCACGAGTAAATAAACAACAGTGTTTGTTGAAAGGCACATAAGCTGTTATGATACTCAGATATAATTGAGCAACGTATCAAAGAAATGCATAGTCTTACACGGAATTAAAGTGTAGAGTTTCGTATAAAAAAAGATAAAGTTAAGAATGAGACTGGTCGACTATTGTCGCTAGCGTTGTTCCATCTTGCCATAGATTGGATCATGAGAATTGCAACAGAGTAAAAAAGAAAGTATATACCACGGACTCACTGATAACAATTTGGTGACAAAGACTTTGTAGAATATCTCGTCTTATCACATCCAAGCAATAATAATTACAATATGAAAAAAAGCAACCAAAATATCTACAACTCTAAAGGCAAGTTTATAGGGAGAAAAACAGAATCGTTTGGAAAAAAAGAAAAAAATCTCTCCTATATGACTGAAAGATAAAAATATCTAAAACATAAAATCTGCAACGACCAAGGCAGGACAAACAATAAAAATATAGCTCGAAGAGGTGCAGACAAAAAAAGCCAGAATTGGAAAGGCAAGAGCAGCTTTTAGCCATATGAAAACGTCTTGAGTTAGAGAAAACTGACTGTCAAGTTAAAACTAAAATGATCAAGCCTAAACGTTTGCATAGAGCAATAACTTGGATAACTAAAATAAAAATACAATGCATGCATGCATGAACAAAATATTTGATGTATACTCGCCTGAAGAACAGATTTAAAAGAAGCTTGATGAAAACCATCATCAAAGAAGAACACTAGAGTTACACAATACAGAAACTGATTCAAAAGGAGGTGTAAATTATTTATTATTATTTCAAAGGAGTGAATACTCTTTAAACAAATATTTGGCATCAACTATCAGGACCTAGAAGGAACCCATTGTGGAAAAAAATCCGAATAGATTTAATTGGAGACAGGATTTAGAGAAGAATATATAGAAGATAAACCAACATCAAGGAAATGTAGAGGAAAAGGCTAACTATTCTGTTGCAAAGCCCTAAATATGTCGATATTTCTAACAACCACCTACCTCCCAATTTTCAGTGCCGCCAGACTCTGCAATGCGGGGGGGGGGGGGGCACACCATTTAGGAATGAACTGTGTTATAGTTACATTTATAGTTTAGCATTTAAAAACAATAGCGCGCTAGACGGCTCGGCGTAGTGTAGACCAAACTATTCCTCCATATGCCGACATTACAGTATTCTCCACACAATATAACTTGGCACAAAATAAATATTTTGCCACTGTGTAGTGTTCTCTCTCTAATGACATGTCAAGCCCTGAATAGATGTTTGTATGTTATAGTATATTACATTAAGGTGCAAGTCAATGGCAATTTTAGATGTAACAAACTATTAAAGAATAACAGAACATTATATACATCAAGTATTGTGCGATAGGCAAGAAAAACATATTTACTACTTTACCATTGATCCGAGCTAATTTTGCAATGATCATCAAGCTCAGAAGAAAGATCATTTTGACAATTTTTTTAACAAAAATAACTTCGAGTTAAATAAAAGAAAGTATTCCGCTATGCTTGCTGCAATTTACTACACAAGCAAAGATGAAGCAGTCATTGCAGTTTAAATAGTTTGAGTGTAGAGGATGTGACCTCATTGCGGATGGTGAAGCAGGACTTAACCGTTTCGTGGAAATGTATCGCGAAGGGTTTCAGGACACATCCTCTTTTGCGAATGAGCAATATTCACATAAATGTAACATCCAAAATATTTTACACTCGACCACAAGTATGGCAGAACAAATTAATTAACTAACAATCACATTTTACGTACTGTAACGCAAAAATAAATCAAATGTCATAACATTTATAATATATATAATAAGCAAATGGTCTAACAGTATAATTAGGTAAAGGGTGTTTATTATGTTATTTAATGTTAAGTTTGTATTGGCAGTATACTGTACTAATTGAGTGTATTTGTCGTTTTTTATTTCCTTAATAAAATATGCTTAGTCTAATCTGCAGAAAATTTTGGGGACATGTATTACTGGCAAAAGAGAGGTTAGTATTAGAGTACTTGAAGTTTAGTATAATTTAATTTAATAAAGTATCATGTACTACTATTCATCATAATTTTTTTCCCGTTCTTGGCACTAGGTAATACTTTCTAGTATAAGTTGAAGAAAGATTCATTCTTACAGATACATAACACTTGGAATGCATTTTCATCAACATACAAAAAATAGACATGACAAACAAATACATATAGGCATACACCTCACGTGATGTTTTAAAGAATATGTTTTTATATTAGTTTGAAATATACATTTGTACTTGCCGTTACATTTGGATTAAAATTAAAAGAAAATAATATCGATGAGTTCAAGATGTATTATATGTTTTAAACACTGTTGCTTATTACCAAGTAGGCGTATTATTTAAGATAACATAATGCATACGGTCAGATCAGGCTCAATGGCTACAGGACATTACTTTCCCCCGAATATTACCCCCTAGGACATTCTGCCCCCCCCTCCCGTATTTACCCCCGGAGAAATTACCCCCATGTCAATTACCACCCTGTTAATTCCACCCCACCCCCTACCGGGGAATTACCCCTACCCCATCTAGTTAGAATCCTACCTAGAAGTAAATAACTATAAACTATCTTATTCCTAAACTTTAAGAAAAAGACCAAACCAAAGCATCTGCCTAAGCCTAAAACGTAACACAAAACCAAAATCAACCCTAGCCATAGCCCTATCCCTATCTCTAAACCTAGCCTTAGCCCTAGCCCTAGCCCTAGCCCTATTCCATATCTCTAGCCCTAGCCCTAGCCCTAGCCCTAGCCCTAGCCCTAGCCCTAGCCCTAGCCCTAGCCCTAGCCCTAGCCCTATCTCTAAACCTAGCCCTAGCCCTAGCCCTAGCCCTATTCCATATCTCTAGCCCTAGCCCTAGCCCTAGCCCTAGCCCTAGCCCTAGCCCTAGCCCTAGCCCTAGCCCTAGCCCTAGCCCTAGCCCTAGCCCTAGCCCTAGCCCTAGCCCTAGCCCTAGCCCTAGCCCTAGCCCTAGCCCTAGCCCTAGCCCTAGCCCTAGCCCTAGCCCTAGCCCTAGCCCTAGCCCTAGCCCTAGCCCTAGCCCTAGCCCTAGCCCTAGCCCTAGCCCTAGCCCTAGCCCTAGCCCTAGCCCTAGCCCTAGCCCTAGCCTCAGCCCTACCCCTAGCCCTAGCCTCAGCCCTACCCCTAGCCGTAACCCTAACCTTCTCAGGGGGTAATGTCGGAGGGGAATGTCCGGGGAGTAATTGATGTTTAACATCTTTAAGTTGAAGCAATGTTTTAGTTTAAAGACATACATTTATTTTTATTTTTACAGAAATAACCTGGTGTCAATCTTGTGTTATTTTCAATTTAAAAGAATATTAATAGGGTTTTAGATTAGAAATTGTGTAAGAATACTGATAGGATTTTTAAAAATAGTGTATATATATATATATATATATATATATATATATATATATATATATATATATATATATATATATATATATATATATATATATATATATATATATATATATATATATGAATGTGCACAAGTGATTATTCGGAATATTGTATTTTCATATAAGTGTATGTTTGTACTAGTGTATGCTTGTCTTGTGGGGCGCCATGATTTTCTTTTACTTTCACGTTTTTCATTTTTTGTCATAATGCGCACGCAGTTTGCGATCGCTTATAGTAGAGTGATCGCTTGCATTATTGTGATGTATAGCATTTATTTTCTACTTTTTAATTCAATCAGAAAACGTGGGATTTTAAAAACAAAAATTAAATGATAATAATTTTTTATTTAAATCTAGAATCCTAACTTGTTTTTACGGGCTTAAGTATTAGGCATTCACACACAAAAAATAATTTGAAAGTAGACAATACATGTTAAGCTTAATTTTGAAACATTCAACTGTTATTGTCGTATGAATTTTTTAAACAAGATGGTTAACTAAAATACTGATAAAACCTATAGAATTGTTTTAAATTACATACACACATACACACATACACACATACACACATACACACATACACACATACACACATACACGCATACACGCATACACACATACACACATACACACATACACACATACACACATACACACATACACACATACACACATACACACATAGACACATACACACATACACACATACACACATACACACATACACACATACACACATACACACATACACACATACACACATACACACATGCACACATACACACATACACACATACACACATACATACATACACACATACACACATACACACATACACACATGCACACATACACAAATAAATTTGCAAAACTATGTTTGTCCGACTAGGGTAGTAAAACGTCAAGATTCGTGAAAATATCGATTTCGATTTTTTGCACGATTACAATACTTCCTCTATACTTCGTATAAGTGGAAATAAAAGCAAACAATTGTTACCTAAAAAAATACACAGATAATTAAAACTAAATATCTCCATCACATTTGCGTTGCAGTTATATACAAATGTACTTACCACAGGTGAACATGATATTTACAAACAACAGAGCCGTCAATAAAATAGAAGACATTGTAGAGTTGTGTAGTTCTGTATCACACGAACTGGAGACTTCTCTAAACCGCTGCTTCTGTTTTCTTGTGAGGAAATCGCCGTCTATTTATACCACAAAGTTTCGTTAAAGACAAAGAAAAGTCGTTTACACTTGTTTATAAAAACGTGTGGGAATCGCTTACTCCGAATTTCCACAAAAAATATGCTGAATCGTAAATATAGTTAGCGGATCTCAAATCAAATAAAATGGCTACATATTTAAAGCCCGTCTTTTATTTTATAAAAGAAATTTCTAGGTTGTTACAGGTAATTTGTAGGTTAGATTAGAATAGGTTAGAATAGTCTAGAACGTACAGGAGAGGCGTGTAAGAGTTGAATAAACCTTGTTGTGTAGTTACCCCCATTTATTATGTATTGCTATACCCAGGTCTAATGCAAGTATAAAAGCTGAAATTAACGATTGTGAGAAGCTTTTTGTTAGTAGCGGCTAGGGACGAGGGCTTGTGGTGTAATGATAAACATGACAAGTGAAAAATGTTTGAACAGGCCCTGAATAATGTTTGGAGTTAAATGAAAGGACGACCGTATTGTATGGTATTGTTGTAGTATTATTTAAAACATTTAGACATTGCCGTGTTGTATGTATGTAAGTCAATTAGCTCATTATAAACGTAGACACTAAAAAGAATCATTGCGACAAGGGAGATTTAAAAAAAAGAAAATTAAAGTATAACTACCTATAAGGCAGAAGGTTTTACCTCTAAAAATGTATCTTACCTAAAAAAAACCATGACACACAAAGAAGTAGTTTTAAGATGAGTTAGTAACCTGGGGTAGGTCATAATACCACAATACAACCGATGTAAATAAAAAGTTAACCAGTGACATTTTGAGAACCACTGGACTTGAATACACCGAGATATTTTTTTTTAAAGAAATCTGCCTGCGTGTGAGAACTCGGCTTCACACATTATCACGTGATATGCAACGAGTAAAAAAAAAGCATTAAGATAAGAGCTCAGCTGTCTACATTATATCACCAAAGTGTTGGCCTTGAGATTTACATAACAGACATACGAGTGTGAACATGTCAAGACAATCCCTGACCCTACAGTAAGAATTTGTGTCAAAATATTTTTTTTTAAATCTTCCCCAATAACAAAAGTGGTTCTCAAAATCTATTAAAAAAATATAGAATATGAAAATATAACAAGAAAATGTGTTAGTGTCACTTAGACTAAGAGATTACGTTGATTTTATGTAGTTATTTCAAACAGTTGTGTCTATATCCAAACGAAAAAAAAAACGGGAGTGATCTCCCCTAAATTTTCTCGAATATTCTTTTATAAAACTATTGGATGTAAGCACATAACGATATAGAAAGGATTTTTAATTCATTTATAATTACTTAACCTTTTTAAAATAGAATAGAATCTCGTAGAAAAAAGAATTGCACACCAAGTGAGCAAAAATGAGCATGTGTACAAAAGTGCGGAATATTATTAGTACTTTATAAATGTATATGCGTTTATTTTTAGAAATCGGAAATAACGTAAATTACCACTTCAGCTCAACGGAAATTACTCAAAATTTGACAGAAGGCTTAGTATTAGATATATTCTACTTAAAACTGAAATTTCGTCTATCTATATGAAATAGTACTCAGGTTATAAGCATATTAAAAATTGGAAGTAGAATAAGTTACTCAGCTTCGTGTGGATGTGTTTGTTGTTAAAATTGACATCGAAAATTAGCCCACTTCTGATTGCTCTATAGATCTGAAATTTGGCATGCAAGTTACTTTCGCCTAACAATTTCAGATGCAATCATAAAAACTAGCAATTAGAGACCGTAATTAGCTTAATTTAATTACGCCCAAAGGACCATAAAATTGAGGACATGATTTCTAAAGATACCGACAAGACTGAAGGCTTATTGACACAGTTACTTCGGCCCCAATCGATGCGAGCGCGCTGGCCGTGATCGTATAGTGGTTAGTACTTCGCGTTGTGGCCGCGACAACCCAGGTTCGAATCCTGGTCGCTCAAGATTTTTTTAGTCCGTGTATTTATAAACACTTAGTCAATTCATACTTAATCAAGTCATTAGATAAAGTAGAAAATAAACTATATAAAAAACTTTTTTAAAAACCACATTTTTCATGTGTAGCAACGGACTAAAAAGGAGAAAATAAAATACTTAAAAAAAACTTTTTAAAAAACCACGTTTTTCTTGTGGACTAAAAAGTAGAAAATAACTATTTACATACATTTGATGACAAAAAACGTGGGTCGGGCAGATGGGTCGGGAAATTTGATAGTGAACGTACCCACGTTTTTTGTCATCAAATGTATGTAAATAGTTATTTTCTACTTTTTAGTCCACAAGAAAAACGTGGTTTTTTAAAAAGTTTTTTTTAAGTATTTTATTTAACAATTAAATTTAGATTAATCTTGATGGCACGATTACTTTATGTTAGCAGTTGTACCGTAATTTTAAAGTTCTCATGACTGAAACCCTCTGCCCTACTTGATGCGGGGTGAAACAAAAAGTAAGTTATATAATTTTGTTTACCTGCTCACACGCTAAAAAACTAACATCTCAAGGACAAGCTATGAGTGTAGAACGTAGATCCCCACATTCTTATCTTGATGCACGTGTTGTTTTGCTCGGTTCATGTAAGACGATACCAGTGGGAAACGTTATTTTCGCGCGCTGGTGCTGCCAACAATTTTCTACATACAAAATGTTGGCGTTTTTTTTTTAACTAATGTCTTGTGCACGAGGGTTCTAAATTTGTTTTCGATTAATTCTAATTTAGAAAATAATATTAATGTATAGAATATTTGCATATTTTGAATTGTATTTTCAACATAATAGTGTTTGTAGCTATGCAAGGACAGCACATAGTAAATTTTTATTTTATTCGACACATTTTTCTTGAATGTCGTTTGAAGTGTTTTTAGTTTGAACATGTGTATTCTCTCCAGTTTTATTTAGAGGCCATTGTTTTATCTTTCATATCTTTCATCTTTAGTGAACATATGCAGATAAAATCCTAATATAATGAATCACACATAGTTGGCAGCATATCGCAAAATATTGTTATAAAACATATTTTATTGATTATAATAATATGTGGGTGACTTTGTTCGCGCAGTCTAACTTGTTGGTCGATTAACCATTGTGAACTGTTTTGGTTAATTATACCATTATACATATTGTATAATTAAATGAACCTTTTCCATTATATTTTTTTTACATTAGTGCAAATATGAGGATATTGACGTAAAACATACTTTCTATAGTAGAACACCATTGCCTATATACATTCGAAGATTGTCGCTGTCTGCGTAAAAGGTGAAAATGTGATGGGTAGCGGAGTAGAATATTTTAACAATAGAATGACTGGTGCTATTGTAGAAATACGTTCTAAAAATGTTTTCTTTTGTATACATGCATATAGTTTTAAATATACAAAGCCTTGTCATAGTTTTCGTATGTTTTTTATATTTCGATTGAACATTTTCACCCTCCACTCTAGCCACTCCGACTGTTCTAACTGGGGTTTACAACAGTTATTTGTACTGATAGGAGGTAAGGGATTGGATGCATGCCAGGGATTAACGGAAAGTGAGATGAAAGAATATAGAACCCTGTAAATATTCGAGTTGGAATATCAGTGAGTTATTTGCAGCTAATATAATTAGCTTTTCGAGGGAGGGGGTAGTGTTATTATGTGTGTTTATTCAGGGTATGTTGGAGCGAACGAATGTTGGTGTGAAAGATATAATGAACGAATGGAATGATGACGAGGAGGATAGGTAGTGACGTTTTGGGTAGAAACTGGTTGCGGTGAATTATGTTTGTTAGTTCTGTCTTGATCGTCTTAGAGTAAGGATGCTTATGAAACGTGTTATTCAACTGAGTGATTTCGTAAAACGTCTATATGGATGATAATTGCAAGAATAATCGTTTAATCCAGAAAATGAATCAAGATCGGAAGAAAAACCTATATGCATCTTGTCAATTCAATTGTCAAATGTACAGTTGAGATGTGTAATGACATAATGACTTTATTAAACACCCAGAAATGTGTTCAATAAAAAAAATCGCTGCTCTTAACACTCCCACCCCCACAACCCCTGAACAACCTAGCTACGCCACTGACATCAAATTCTCTTGGTAATCATTGTATGGCTTTGCAAAACACCAGACCAAATTTGATATACATCTACAACCAGGCTATTATATCAAACGTTTATAGTTTTAGATAATTATATTGTGTAGAACAGTTATCACATATCCTATCCTCTACATCTGCCCGAAAGTTGTTGAGGCACCATGACTGCTTATGCCCCAATGCCTTGCCGTCCGTCTGGTGCCCTCAGAGAGTTTTCAAAAGACGATCCGGTCCCGTCCCTAATGTCATCCAGCAATTGTCTCCTTTTTTTACGCTCGCTATCTACTACTCCCCCCCCCCCCCCCCCCCCCCACCGGGAAGGGGAACAAAGGAAAACTGGTATGTGGAACATTTGGAGGGGAATATTATTGGGGCATGAAAACTTTACATCGTTAAGTTTCATATCTGCTATCGGTAGCTTAAGCTCCTCATATTAAGAGAGTTGAACAGTATTTCCATGTGTTCGAATGACTAAATATTTTCACCTAAATCGTGACCATTGTTATTATTCTGGTTTGTTGTAATTTTAATATCATGTGCTGATGAATTTACAGCATGATTAAATTAGTATAATTAATTGATTTGCATACATCAGTTATTGTAATTCTGAAAACTTAAAAATAAAATGTAAATTTTTCCATAAATTTCTTTTCAATTATTTTATAAAATAATATACGTAATATATAAGTCAAGTTCATAATTTAATATCTATAAATACTTCTTCACACCCCAAAGTCAGCAGTTAACAAAATATAAACATTGTTTTATCATAAATAATTATTTAACATAAACATTTGCATATGTGTTTCTCGCTAGTGTCCAATAGATATGACGTTTGTTCAACAATCTACATGGGGCCATTCATTGCTAGCGTCTCACTTATAGGATGCTTGTTGTA